ATGTGGGGAGTGCCTAATCATCTGACACACTAATAAAAATTTGAAAATTTTGTGGTCAGTTTGGAAATATGATGGTGGGAAAGACTCAGTTTTGCAAGTGAGCAAAGAGGAGTATGTAAACTGCAGCATCTCAAACCCTATAAAGGTGTACAGTGATGGAACGACGAAGGTGAAGCTTGACCGTCCTGGGCCGTTCTACTTCATCAGTGGGGCAAAGGGTCACTGTGAGAAGGGTCAGAAGCTTGTGGTGGTGGTTTTGACTCCGAGGGGAAGGTCCAGTGGCATTGTTTCTTCACCAGCACCTGCTCCTGCACCTTCTCTTGCTGAGTTTGATGGTCCTGCTGTTGCGCCTACTAGCAGTGCCAATGCTTTGCATGGGGGCATTGTCATGGTGGCTCTGGTTGCTATGTGGGGAATTTTTATGTAAAAATAACTTGAGTTCTTTATTTGTACGTTGTGTTTGTGTTACTCGGTGTGTCTGTGTGTGGGATGAGACAGTCACATTGAGGTGATTGTCAGTTGTTTTTTTGCAGGAAATATATGATTAATTTTTTAAATTTATATTATATGCCCATTCAAAATGACGTTGCACATACAAAATGACGTGGCACAAAAATAGAATAGAGGTTGAAAACAAGTGAACTTTATTAAAAAAAATGTTTATATCAAAATTTCTGTGACAACAACTTGAAACAGCAGCATATTCGAAATCATAAAATCCAACTCTAAATTCGAACTTTTCAATCTGGAGATTGGAACTGTGTAGATGCTGAAAGGACCTTGTGATAGTCAAAATTTGAAAATTAGCATTCCTCAGTCACTTGCAGTGTCACCAATCCAAAAGTCTCCATTAACACAGCTCCTTTATTCACATAAACTGCAGAAACAAGGCAAAGTCATAATAGTAATGAAAGATAAGCAAGTTGAAATTTATTGTTACATTTCATTCACATAAACGCCATTTAATTTATTGTTACATTTCATTTTACAAGTTGAATTCATATAAGTCTGTCATACACAAACAAGTCTTTAAAGTTTGACAACTTCTAATGGAAGTGAATTTCAGTCATACAACTTCATGATGTATATTAACAATAACATATATCATTATCACACTTTGTAGTTTTGATACAGACTGTTCAAGTTAACATAGAACTTATAAAAATAAAATAACCAAGAAGAAACTATCATTTATTATTTTACTCGCATTACATGAGGATTGCATCCCCTAAAATTAATGATTTATTAATATTCTCAAAAAAACCAAGGGCTTAGCTAAAGATGCACCTAATTTTCAGACCTAATTACTCATATTTCACTCCCTAACGAACAATTACTTATCATCAAAGAAATGTCTTCTATGAATTCATAAATATTTGTCTTTTACCGGAACAAATTCACACTTTCGTTTGTTGCAGTTTACTGGTATATGAATGCTTAGATTACTAATGAATAAAAAAATAAAATACTTTCTTTTCTTCATATGCACACAGAAACAAAGTAAAGTTAAATGTGTCACACATACCAATTCGCTTCAAAACCAGCCAGGGAACATGGGCCTTCATATATACGAACCAGGAATCATATTTCAATCAGTCACATTAATTACTCTAAGTTGTAAGTCACAGAAGAATCTCCAAATATATATATATATATATATAGGGAATGAAATTCTAGTCGCAATTACAGAGGAAACTATTTTACCAAATATAACATAATGACTGGTTTCAAATACATTTTAAAATGTTGAAATTTTATTCTGCTTCCACATTCAAATATATAATCTATGATTTTGAATCCGTTGCTCTAATTCAAAAAGTACAAGATTATGAGTCCACCTTGGACGTTGTTAGTAGTTTGAGAGGATAGATGTTTTTATGTATGATTACTTGTAAGATTGTATTAGGTTACTATTCTGCATAAAACTTCCAATAACGTTTAAAAATTGAACTATACAATGCAACTTGAGCAAAAATAGACACATGTTGCATCAGTTACACTACTAACAGTTCAGACAAGATTAACATGTATTCCAACTTACCCCGTGTTTCTGTGAACTGGTAAGTTTTAAAATTGAAATTATCAATTTTTAACTTGCAAAAAGTTTACTTATGAGAATGATCTACAGATATGAAGACATTTGAAAAACTAAATATCGAACTTCAACCATTAAATATCAGTACAAGTACAAGGTCACTCCAATAATTAACTGCAACAAACAAATATTTCAAGCTGCTGGTTAAAATTTTGTGTATCAGCAGTGCATCTGCGAATATCCAAAACCCCCCTAATATGTGTGTTGGTTCAAAATTCCTTATTCTAATGACAGAAAGTAATTCTTAACAGCCATTACAAATCACAATGCAGTTACGCCATTGAAATATATAAAATTTGAGAGACAACAAAGTTGCATAGTAAACAAGGACATCATAGAAACTGCAAGAATTTGGGAAAACTAAGGTTCAAGTACCTCATCATCATCTGAAATGTCAATTACCATCCCCTTAACATTTCCACTATTATAACCAAGATGTTCCTCCTTTACTTTCTCCAGGGACTCCATATCATCAATTTGAATAGATGGCTCTTCAGAAGATGGATACTTCCTCTTTTTACCAGCCTGCTCCTCATAGTTCATCTCCAGTTCCTCCTCTCCATTTATGTTCCTAATGTCTTGCTCCTGTGCTGCAAGAAACAACCAGTTCTTCAGACAGACATGAGATTCAAAATGAAAGACACACACGCAAGGCGACATAAAGTGTGTTAAAAGAAGAGACTATTCAAAAACCAAATCCTCCAGTGCAATCATTTTTTTTATAGGTACAAAACAAATTAAGGGGATGATGCCTCATTCGGACACAGGAAAAGTCTCCACACTTAGAATACCAGCAAGACTCAAATCTACATTGTCAAATGTGTAACCCTGTTTGTTTCAGTCAATTATACCCTCCAAGTTAATACAACCAAATTCTAAAATCAGACAACTGGAACAAAGAAAATAGTCATCCCTGATAACGAAACCTTAAAACCCCAAATTGCTATTCTCAAATCAATGCAGCATGGATCACTCATTCTCAAGATGAAAACTCAACAAATTGCTAAAAACCACGTGAGGTACCTTCACTCAACCGCGGAAGTCGCTCCAGTTTCTTCTGCAATAAGTTTAACTTGTCCTGGAGGAACAAAAAAGCAAAATCATAAATCAAGCAACGCAGCACAACAGAAATCAACAAAGGCTGAAACTTGAACAACTAAAACACCATGCAACACAGTTTAGAACATGTACAGAAGAGAAAAAAAACTCACAAGCTCGGATTTCACAGGATGATCATTTGGGTTAACTCCTCTGCACCTCAACTTCACTGAACACGAAAATGAAAAAAGAAATTGAATTGAAGAGAAATAACTATATTAACAGAAAGGAGTGAGCGATTATTGTTTTAAGGGAAGAAAAGAGCAGACATGAGTAGAGGGTGGAAGTGAGTTTGGCCAGTGAGAAGAGTGAGTGAGCGCGTTCGAGAAATGGCAGTTGAGCGAGAAGGTCAGGGTCAGAGAGAGCGAGGAATTGGGGTAACTCAGTTTCCAGCTGTTGAAGGCTTCCCAAAGTGCGGTTCAGAGTTTCCATCACTGCTTCTGGTACTTCTATGCCATCGATTTCGTTTCCTTTCACCATTTTTTTTCCCTCTTCAACAATTCATCTACTCATGCAATCACAGAAGACAGAAAATGAGATACAAAGGTTAATCTACTGTAGTTAACTCGTGCATATATAATTTTTTTTTTCAAATATGAATTTGTATTTCTATGGTATACTTGATATAAGTGCTTTCAAACATAGTCGATTAAATAACAAGATTAAGATTCAATTTAAACATTTCAACTAGAATGGTAGCCTAATAAAAGATTAATTTTTGAGCAATTCTACAAATTAAATTTGAATTAAACAATATGTTATCTGGTTAGTAAAATGAGACTTATCAAAACAAGAATGGTATTTTCTTTCTTCTCAGATATTACCAAACTTTTGTTTTTTTTTTTTAATTAAATTGTGTCCGATTTCAAATATGAATGAATTTATCTTTGGTTTAAATCAAAAATGAAAAGAAAAGAATAGAAGACACAAAATAAAAAATATATAAAATCCAGCTCTTCAATTGAAAAAATAACGTAAGTAGAAGGAATGATGAAATATTATAAAATGTTGCATTAATTTAATTTTTTATGTTGTGTTTATTAATTTTTAATATCTATTATTTTTATTTTTATATCATAATTTTATTTTAAAATTATAAAAGAGTGATTATTGTTAATGCCCAGTTAAATAAAATTCGATATAAATAAGGGTTATAGTAGTTTTTCAATAAAACACAAATTGAAATTTTAACTCTAGTAGTAATCAACAAAGAATTACTTCTTTAAAATGTAATATAAAATTATAAAATATAAGAATAAAATTTTGATGCCCGGTTAAATATTAAAATACTGCAGGTTTAATTATTTAGAATACTTTTTTAATTAACTCCACTATTTGCTAAAAAATACTGAATATCGATTTATTAATAAATTCGCTCAAATTTTATCCTTTTAATGAATTTTATACAAGGTTAAAGTGAAATTCAAAATTGGTCAAAAACAGTGACAAATAGTTGTGTCCGGAGAGAATATTATTAAAAATGATAGTGTAAGTCAAGATATTATTTTGCAATTTTGTTTCACTTAGTTTACCATTTGGATTTATGCACTGTCAATAACTTCGATCAGTGCATTCCCGAGTAGATTTAGCTACTCAATTTCAACTACTTCCTGTAACGAGTTAAAGAAATATTAAACCATGATTTGAACACAATTGCAGTCAGCTTCATAAATTAATGCTTCTGCTGTGAGAAACCAAAATTTAATCTTGATTCGAATATATTCGAAAGTAAATTACACCATGCCCAGTTTTCCAAAGCTAAAGTTGAAGTGTTTTCAAGAGATAATAAGATTTATGATTTAGTGGAGAAAGATGGACTTTATAAAACTGGGTCAATTCAATACACAATGACAGTTACAGCATGTCAAAACATTTTATCATGATAAAATTAAATATCAGCTCCAAAACTGCGAATTTAAATAATGTTTCAGATCAAACATAAAAAAAAACCGAAAGACTGAATGCTTGAGCAACTAACTGTTGGGACATAACATTATCATGGAGCAATCCTAAGTGGGTCACGAGGGAAAAGCGATGTTTTGCGAATGTTATTCAAGCCACAGAAAAGCATCACAACACGTTCCAACCCTACTCCGAAGCCACCATGTGGCGGTGCGCCATATCTGGAAATTATCAAAATCAAGCAATTGGTTTTGCTAAACAATTTTTTAATTACCAGAGGTAAGTAGCAGGAGGCACAAACACATAATATGAGAAAAGAGTAAGAGGAGAAAAATAATACCTGAAAGAATCAATGTATGTAGATATTGTCTTCACATCAATGCCGCAAGCTGCTGCACGTTGTTCCAAAAATTCTGGTACATGAACACGCTGAGCTCCTGAAATTATCTCCTCACCTAAGGAACAAGGAACCCACAGTAATTCAAATCAGAACAGGAACAGAAACCACAGCCATATATATATAAGCATGACAATTAAACCAGACATACTAAATCAGTTGGACAAGATTGTCATGCCAATGCAATTTATGACAAAAAATCCTTGCCTACCTCGAATAAAGACATCAAACGAGTTGCTGTATGATGGATTGTCATAGCAAGGCATTGTATAAAATGGTCTTACAGCCAACGGATATCGATGAAGGATATAGAACTCTGTGCCATACCTACATACAGTAGCAGCAAACTAGCTTAAATAACAGGTCACGTTAAAGGATAATATTTGGTGGTAAAAAAAAGGTAAGAAAAGGACTTACTTCTCCAAGACTAGTTGACCCAATTTCCTTTCCGCTTCAGTATTCAAGTCACCAAAAGGTTCAATTTCTACTCCAACATCCTGCGCATAGCAAAACAATCAGACTGAAAACTCCCACTATTCTACAGCTTAAGTCAACTTTGGGTTGAAGTTACGTTCAACGTGACTGAAATCTAACCATCACAACTCAGACTTTTTGGTGGATCTCACTTCTAAATCAACAGAGGTCCTTAAATGGGAAGTAGGACCCATCAAAACTAGTAATTTTCAACCAATTCTGGCAACTAGTAGATAGTTATAGAGAGGGTGTTCCTAGCAATTATTTTGAACTAAATAGAATTTCAACTAGTAATGAAAAAGTGAAAGGATGAGCTTGAACAAAAAATAGCTTAATTATTTAGGTTTACATTACCATGGTCTCCCTGTGACATTTATTTATAATATAATTTTAGAATTGAGGTTAAACATTATTTTAATGTTCAAATATTGAATTGCATGACTTTTGCGAATTGTTTGTGCACTAATATACAGATTAAAATGTGAGATATACTTAAAGTAGCACTTTAAACACCCCTTCCCTTCTTCTGTAGGTGTTATGAAATAGACAATAGAATAAAGATGTAAGATTCAGGCATCACCATCATCCTATCCACTTCTTTTATATACCACTTGCTAGTAAATTAAGTTAGGAATTTTAAACATACCTTGAGCATCTGAATCCCTTCTTCATATGTTAGGCGTAGTGTATTCCGCAGATACTGCACATTCGCAGGGCTATTGTCAGATCAGAAACAAGTAGCACAATATCTATTTACATCTCACATTGCACACTACATAACAATCGACTACATAAGATATTTATGATAATACAAAATAACCACCTTTAAAGGTTCAAACGGGTACTGAGACCCCACAGCTTCCAGATCTTTCTTACAATGTTGGTTCAAACTATCAAACATTGCAACAAATAATCTATCAACTACATCCATAACCTGCCAAGAAACTCAAATCATCAGCAAATCATTCTAGTCCCTCAAATGTTTCATCAAATTTGCCAACAAGCCAAATATACCTCAAAATAATGCTTCTTAATCTCCATTTCAACATCAAGACCTGTAAACTCACACAGATGCCTGTGAGTGTAGGAATCTTCTGCTCTAAATACAGGACCAATCTCAAAAACACGGCCAAAATCTCCACATATAGACATTTGCTTGTGAAGCTGAGGTGACTGGGCCAGGCATGCAGGTTGGCCTTTGTAGTCAAGTCTGAAAACAGAAGCTCCACCCTCACTAGATCCAGCAATCAACTTTGGAGTGTGGATTTCACAAAAACCTTCAGATAATAAGAACTGTCTAAATGCCTGCACAATTAAGCAATTAAAAGTTAATCAAACCATTCGGCTCAAAGTCCAACTACAATTGCATAGCTTAAGTGAGAGTCTCAGTAATCAGTATGCAATTTTTATTTCAATAAACATAAAATTGAAGACCACTGCAATAGCTAAAATAAATTTATAAAGTCTTCAGAATATCATCGGAGATACAAAAAATAAATTAATACATTAGCAACGTGAGACTGAACACGGAAAATTCCTTGATTAGCTGGTGTTCGCACGTCAAGCACTCTGAAGTTCAACCGTGTGTCCTGATTAACCCGAACAAGTTGCTCACCAGCCTGCAGCCATTAACAAGCACATAAAGCAAGACCGAAACAATGGCAACGCATTCGTCAAACAAAATCATAGACACATAAACAGGAAACATCTTTAGTAAAGAGAACCTGAACAGCCTTCTCAATTTCAACCTCACTCCGAGCAGCATCCTCAAGATTGATCGGCAGAGTAGGCACAGCCCTACTGATACAATACAACTTCCTCACTTGAATTTCCACCTGCACCAACAAACCAAGCCATAAACACCACAAACTCCAAATTCAACCATTAATTTTAAACCTACAAGAAAAAGCAAACATGAAAATACGTATCTTCAAGTAACAATATTTTCAATTGGCAATCACAATCTTCAAATCTAACCACTTATCTTACATGTATCAAATCTTCAAATAAACAGAACTATAACATTATATACCGAAAAACCCCATTCAATATTTTTCATTTTTCATACTAAAAAAATGCGTGTCTTCAGAGTCTCTGTACACCTGCCACTACAGAGAGCATTGAATCGAAGAGGAACCAACATAACCTACAGACTTTACAAACCCTAATAACTAGACAAACCTGCTGCGTGGCGCCTTTGATGGGAGCGGCGGGGATCGAAACAAGGCCTTCGACATCGACAATGGATTCGCGGTTGAGCGCGGCGGCGAACTTCACCATCTGCGGGCTCACCGTATCGGGCTGCGCCTGCACCAGACACTGAACCGTGTAGCCGTGTTCTCTTATGACCAAGAATGCCATCTTCTTCCCGACCGGTCGAATCGTCTGTGCCCTCCCTCGGATAAGCACCGTCTTGTTCTCCAGCGCAGCGCCGAGCGCCTCCACGCGGGTCCACTCGCCAACATCGGTGGGCGTCTTGGACTGCAGCTCGACGAGCGGAACATCGCCGTAGTTGGCAGCGAGGGGGTCAGCCTCGTCGACGGAGAGATTTGCAGTGGCGGCAGACGCGGCGGCGATTTCCTGGCGGCGACGAAGCTTGTCCTGCTTGGCGGCCTCCTTCTTGGCTGCCTTTTTGCTAATCTGGGCCTCCGATGCAGCGACGGCCGGGTCTTGGGACTCGGAAGACGACATCGTTTTGGTGTGCGAAATTCGGGTTTTGGGTTTACTAAAGACTTAGTTATAAGATTAAAATGTTGAGGCGATGATATAAAATTGATAGGTTTGTGGTTTTTTTAACTGAGGAAGAGAATATATATACTACGAAAGTGGATCGTATATTTATGTAATTTGAAAATGGAAATGCAAATCCGTGGTATTGGCACGCAGGCTTCATACATTTTTTCTTCTTTCTAACACTTTATAAAACAATGTCTTGCTCTATTATTTTCTTTTCCTTTTTCTAAATTTTTCTTTTAGTCAATCCCTGTTGGCTAGGTTTTTCTTTTATCAAAAACTAATTAATAAATCCTAACCACAACATCAAAAATTACATTAAAGTTAAAACTTTCTAGTCAGTATAAAAAAGATGATGTTGAGTCGATTTTTTAACCAAACTACAAGTACGAATTATTTCTTTCCTTTCTAAGATTTATGTAAGCAAAAAATATGTTGAAAAACTACCAATTTAATTCTTTTGAGTGCTTTATTTTTTATTTTATTTTTGTTATAATTAACTCAACTGTAAACTTTTAATTTATAAATGATATTGAGATGAATTATGTGCAGGAAAATATAACGAATAAAAAATAATTAAATAATATAAGTGTTTTTTTAAAAGAAATTTGGCATGGCATATAAGAGCAATTACTCGATGTTCTGTTTATAAAGATATTGATAACTAGGTTGATGTAATTAGGGGTGATTTTAATCTAATCGAATACTTATAGTACTTTGCATAAGGATAATGATACTTTGACAACATTTTTTTGACAACATTTTAACATCATTTACGTGTTATTCTGTGATTGATCCAAAATTACTTCACAATCAATAATAATAATCATAATGTTGGAAGTCTCATATCGACTAGTGATAAGACCAATTTATAGTTTATAAGTGGGCAAATCTCACCCTACAAGCCGGTTTTGTGGGGTTGAGTTAGGCTTTAAACCCACTACTAACATGATATCAGAGTCATGGTTAGAGCCTATCCTAGCGAGTTGTAAGTGGGCATTCTATTCTTCTATTCCACCCGCTATCGGGCCGTTATCGAACCACCCAATTTCTACTATCACGCACGAGATGTCTATACCTCGGCGTGAAGGGGGTGTGTTAGAAGTCTCACATCGACTAGTGATAAGGCAAATTCATAGTTTATAAGTAGGTGCAAACCTCACCCTACAAGCCAGTTTTGTGGGGGTGAGTTAGGCTTTAAACCCACCACTAACAATAAACACCAACATGGACCAATCACAGAATGACATATAGATGATGTTAAAATGTTGTCAAAGTATCATTATCCTTTGCATAATTGTTTATGCATTTAATAGTTGTGTCGGTAAACTATAACGATTAACAATATTTTAGAGTTTTGTATCACAAAAAGAGCATCATCTATTATAGTTAATGTCTTACTTGGTGTGCACAGAATAATATTGTAGAGGACTATAAGCATTCATTAACTTATTGTTATTCATTAACAATATTTTAGAGTTTGTATCACAAAAAGAACATCATCGATCAGAGTTATCTTACTTAGTGTATACATAACAATGTCGTTACATTATTGCATAGGACTAGAAGTATTCATTAACTTATGTCATCGACTAAAGGTAACTAAGTTGGTAAATGATGGATTTCAATACATTGTTAAGGAATAAGTTATTAAATTTCTTCATATCATTAGACAATAACGTTAACAATCGAATTGTTTAATTCTTTTTCTATTCGCTTGGGGAAATTGTTTCTCGACATTTTCATAATATGTTGAATGCAATTTTGATGTTGGAGAAAGAATTCTTCATTAAACTATTTAGGATCAAAGTCCAACCTCGTTTTAAACAAAAGTCAATTTTTTCCATAGTTGAAGGTAATATTGTACGAACTATAGTGTAAGTTGACATGCATAATGTATTACTTCTTAATCTTATGACCATTTTTAACCCTATAAGATTGTTTAAGTGTCATAGATGACACTCATGTACATGTAAAGGTCCCATGTTCAGATGTCCCTTATTTTTGCGGAATAAAAGATTTGCAGCTTGTGATTTTGATATTAAATTCACATATTTAGGAGTGTTGATCATGTCATTAGAATGATGACATGGAATACATATTAGAGTATTAGAAAATAACACAAATTTCCTATATTCAAATTTGTGGGGAACAACAATAAATGTAAAATAATTACACACAATATTGACAATGGAATTCAACCAATTATGCCTACATTTTCGAGTTGTTGTAAACCTTTTATTTGAAAGAGAAAATTATAAAATAGGTGTTTACAAAACACAACTCACAACCCAAATAAACCTAGAAAAATAGAATATTATTCTTCATTTTCTCTATCTTACCTCTCTTTTGTTTTATATTGGAATGAGTAATAAACTTTATGCACAAGTATTTATACATAATGAAATGAATATAATCTGCATATCTTATTGTCTATATTTATGTAGTATTCTCAATTAATTGAGTTTTAATTTCTCTCTCTAAAAACAACATGCTTTTCTATAAAAACTATTTTGTTGACTAATTTCAACAATCTCACACTTGAAGACTAACTTCAATTTGTATGTTATTTTAGCAGTCAATTGAAATTGAGCATAACTTCAATTTGTTAATGGTTACTACCTTTATCGACAATTACTACCTTTGTCAACATATTTATTGGATTCTTACTTCCTATAACTTTTATAAGCATAAAAACCTCATCTTCAATCAAAGATTTGATGAAGTGATAACGAAGACTAATGTGTTTTGTTCTAGAATGAGATATTGAATTCTTTGTCAAATGGATTGCTCATCAATATACAAAACACTATTCTAGATAAATCCCAACTCTATTAGCAAACATTGAAGCTATATTAATTCTTTATTGGCTTTTGTTACTACTATATACTTAACCTTTATACGGGATAAAGTAACAATCTTTTGTATTTATGACATCCAACTAATAGTTGTTATACTAAATGTCAAAATGTAACTAATGATATTTCTTTGATGATCAACTTCATCTCCAAAGTATGCATCTATGTAGCCTTGTACTTTTAATTCTCCCTTACTAAAGTACAAACAATTTTTTGGTGTGTTTAGATTCCTTAAAATCCATTTGACTACTTCCTAATGAGTTTTACCAAGATTTCACGAAACATGCTAACAAATTTATAACATATTTGTTAATGTGATCAAATTAATGCTACTTTACTATAGCAACCTCAGGACTTCTAAGTCAGTAGTTAACAAATTAGTTAGTAAAAAATCAATCATAAATCGTCTCTCAACAAGCATTAAATTCATTCCTAATAAATTATTTCTTATAAAAGCTATACAAAAAGGTTAATCAAGTAAAATAAAATTAATATAAGAAGATAAAGATAACCAAAATAAATAAAATATTAATTAAGAAAATAATAAATGAAAGCAAGAAATAAAATGATAAAAAGAGAAAAAAAATAAAGAAAATAAGTTGATTTTAGTGCTTTTTTAAAATAGGATTCATTATTGGTTATTTAAATTATCTTTCAATTAATTATTATATTAGATTTTCAAATTAATCATTGTAAATTCTCAATTAATTTGTTTACAATCTCATTATTAATCAAAGTATATTATCAATTAAAAATAAAAAGTTTACATATTAAACATAGTAAATTTAACCAAAGTAGATTCTCAATTAAATATTATTATTAATTAAAGTACATTATGAATTTGTTCAAAATTGATTTCTAACAAATTAGTTCTTATAAAAATTATACAAAAGAATTAATAAAATAAAATAAAATAAAATAAATATAAGAAGATAAAGATAAATAAAATACATAAAATATTAATTAAGAAAATAATAAATGAAAGCCTGAAATAAAATTAGAAAAAGATAAAAAGAGACAAAATATAAGAAAGAAAATAGGTTGATTTTACTGCCTTTTCAAAATAGGATTTATCATTGGTTATCTAAATATTATTGTTCAATTAATTATTGTCTAAATATTATTTTTTAATTAATTATTATGTTTGACTTTCAAATTAATTAATTTAAATTTCCAATTAATTTGTTGACGTTCTCACTATTATTCAAAGTATGTTCTCAATTAAAAAAAACTTTGTAGATTAATCATAGTAAATTTAACCAAATTACATTCTCAATTAAATATTATTATGCTTAATCATGTTTATTCTTTTACCTCTTATATTAACTAAAAAGTTAATTAACCAAAGTACATTATTGATTAATTCTTGTTAAAGTTTTCATCTTTAATCAAAGTATATTATCAATTATTAACAAAAACTCTTCAATCCATGAAAGTTTCTAAATTTAATTAAAATAGTTTCTCAATTAAAATTAAAAACTTTTGGATTCATATGATTGATATGTTATTATATTTAACACCATGTAAACTTTGTTACAATGTAAAAATTTACGTTTACTTGATTAAGAATCAAAAGACAGAGATAAAAAAAATCACAATTATAATCAAAAGAACAAATCAATTATTACATTCTAACATGAACATGAAAGATGAGACCAAAGACGAAATTAGGCCACTCAAAGGGTTTATAAGCTCCCTTAACATGTTTATTCAGGTATCTTTATATAGAAATTGAATTGGACTTTGTTTCGGCTTTTTTGTTGTTGTAATATTCTTTTAGATAATGTAATCTCCTCTAATTTATCTTATAAATAATTCAATATCTTCAATATATATATTTTATTATTGTGGAGATCTAAAAATATTTAAGAAGATTTTTGCTAGATTCAAAAAAATTTGACAAATATTATGTTTTTATATTTACTCATATAGTTAAATAAGTTAATTATTTTAAAATATCAAATAAACTATCTAAAGATATATTTTTTCCAAATTATCTTTTATCATAAACATGTATCAATTATTGTAACCATTTTTGTAGAAAAAACAGTAAAGTCCAATTTTTGTTGTTTTTTCCCTCTTTTTTGGCTTAGCCAAATTTTTTGATTTTTCCATCACTTTATTGCCTTCTTCATGTAATGTTTGACTTAGATTTTATGGTTTTGATTATTTCATATTTTTAGATTTATCTTTAAAGTGTCATAAAACTTTAATCAATA